AGTCAAATTTTTTTGTAATCAATAAATATTGAAGGAAACACATATAATATTAAATTAGTGATATTTAATTAATAAGAAACGTCACATACGCTATCTGAAAATAATTTTACAAGAATCTTAAACATAACTACCCAATTGTTTTGATGGTCCAGCAAAATTATTTGTAGATCTGTATCTAGCTAATTTTTTAAATTCTTCATAAAAATTGCTCTTTCAGTGATCTTTTCGGATCAATTAGACCTAAAAAAAACAATTTTCAAATGGTGCTACAACAAAATTCACTTTTGATGGTTGTACCTAGGAGACTCTTGATCAGCATCTCTATAAAACTACAAAATATTAGTTTCAGTCAATTTGACTAGAACCATTTTTTTCCGCAATTAGTGATCCTTTTTACTCAAATATTTGGATTCAAGACTTATCGCCGAGGAGAATAATCAACGAGACTGCATTCGCTGCGCGATATTCAGAGACAATGTTTTATATATATATATATATATATATATATATATATATATATATATATGCGTTCTGATTTAATCTCGAAGTTTATTGCAATTCCAAACTTGATTTCCGAGTAACCGTCACGCAGCCGATGAACAAATGATACGTTACACCCACGTTCGAAACTGTCTATAGATGCGAACGCACGCAGTCTCATACCGCACGAGGATCCCAAATTAGAGGAATGTCTGATTTACATCTCGAGATATCTCGGATGAAGCTATAAATAATTTCGGTGGTGGAATGTTAATGCGACCCTAGGCCAGAAAGGACTGAGCGAATAGTCCGCGGACCTCCAGTCCACGCTCGACGTCCAGTCAAATTGGAAACACTACTACCATCACTAATCCTGTTGTTCCCCTTCACAAAAACAGCGACGAAAACAGTTCACGTTAATCTCACGTAGAACGATCGAATACATATTAATAGTCTGAATCACACGCGACCGGTTGTCGCGTTGGTAAACACAATTTAATTGATTCATTGCCTTTTTCAAAGAAAGATTAAAAGGATCGTTTCATCGTGAGTAATTATGTGAATAATGATGCTCTTAAATATATCTTTTTGTAACGTAACGTTTAATGAACAGCGAATTACTTGAATATCGCTAGAAATCGCCCTTCCTGAGAATTCCGTTGTGCGACCTATACACGATGTATCTTATACCGCGGCGATAGGTGAAGATAGCGAGAGAGATGTACGGGATACGCGAAGGCTGAGACAGGGACAGAATGAAGTGTTGGGGTCACACGAGGGTACGGGGAGGAGACATGGCGTAGAGCAGGACGGAGGGAGAGTCGAGCTGTCAGAGGCAGAGACGTTCTGGGATGGCCCCCATCCTAGTCCTCGCTCTCGTCGTCCTCCTCGTCTGTAATCGTGGGGGCGGTAACGTAGTCCTGTGCCCGACAGGATCACATCGCCACGCCGCTACTGTACCTATATACCTACGTACGTACAGCACAACGCGTGGCGTTGCCCTGCCTGGCAGGCAAGTAACGCGGACTGCCAATCTCGGCCGCCTAACGCAAAATCAAGTCGGAGATTGTCCCATTGTATAACCTGGCGCTCCTCACTCGCCCGCCTTCGAGAAGCTTGTGAGATAACTGTCGACCTCGTGCGCAGTTACACGCTTCCATCCCGAAGGCGTGGAAGTGAAATGGATGATATCGCATAATAAATTATTACGACGTGCGATAATTGGTACTAGATTGAGCAATATTGTATCAAATACAATAAAAAAAAGCTATTGTTCTAAAGTACCTAAAAATCTAGCTAGATACAGAGCTGAAAATAATTTTGTTAAATAATTATATAAGACACTCAAGCTGGTTGCTAGAACGTCAACACTTTTTGCAGCATTATCCATTATGCTTTAGCGTCCCACATAATTATTGTGATAGTCCAACAAAATTATTTTCAGATTTGTCTTATTTTCAGATCTAACTAAATTTTCAGATACTTCAGAAAAATCGTTCTTTCCGTAAAAAAAAGAGTGATGATAAACAAATGAAAGGAAAAGCAAAAAAAATGGAATGTATAAAATCTAATATATGTTATAAAATGTATAACTGATTTATTATATACATAACACATCGAGTTGCCTATGTCGTGAGATAGACTGGCGATTAAAGCGATTAATCCGACAAGTAGTTAATTTTGCTGTATGACTTAGTCATCGCGTCCCCCAAGAACATCCACATGTAACAACTTTCTTCATGGAGTATGACATATACGCTATGAAACCCTGGATGAAACAGAATACGGGACGCAATCGATCACAACATTAGAGATATCGTCGAGAGTAACTTGATCTGCGGGGTAAGATAAATAATAAGCCGACAATGTATGGTGAGAGGGTCAAGAAATACTTGGCATCTAGTATCTTCTCTATTATTTATAAGAAATTCCTTTTTAAGAAGCCCGATATAACTGTAAATAATATTATAATGACAGTTATAGAAAAATGCTATTTATATTATATATAATACATAATTCATTTAAAAGCACAGGAAGTAAAGTATTTTTATACCCTTAATTTGTGATTTAATCGAACCACTTCACGATTAATATAAGAATAAATTTTTATGGGATAAATTTATTTATATTATCAATTTAAATTTACAATACATAGAGCCATTCATGTGATTCAAGTGAAGATAAATCAATATTGTCCTCTCAGAATTCATATGGGATTCGCGTTTAATTCGGCCATATTTTTCGACGACGTGTGCAGAGTTAAATCATACGGGATCAAAATGAAAGGTAACCAATCCGCGTCAAAACACAGCGATTCTTGCGCCGCAATTTTGCACTCATTCGATCGATCGATCGCACTTTTCCTCGCTCGCAATCTCAACGCGAAATTAATAGGTCTCCTCCATGTGGAACGAGCACTTTGTGAAATCCCTTGGGATTTCAGAACGGGTAATATTCCAAATTACAAGATAAGGAAAAAGGAAGGGACAAAGCGCGGACGCGAAAAAGAAGAAGAAGAAGTCGGATACGCTGTATCTCCCCGAGTTCGGAGTCCGTCGAGACGAAGCCCGCTATAATTTCAGCATCGATCATTCGCGAAGCGCCGGTCTCCCGCGCAAAAGCGTCGACGAGTCACAGCAAAACCTACACGCGAGGCATTGCAAAAAGAGTTACCGTACCAAGAACACGGAATACTTTATTCATTTGAACAGGGGAAGGGCTCGAGGGGTGTGTCGGGGCGCAGTCATGTTTCGACGATAGAGTATATAGAGAGATGCCAATAAATATGTCCCCATCGGACATGCAATATGTATGCCGATGTCTGCCAATCCGCGGATAAGATTCGCGGACCCAATTCACCACGACTTGTCTCCGTTTCTTCCACTTCATCTTTTTCTTCGTCTTCTTCTCGTTCCCAAGGCCCGACGTCGTCGACGCTGCAAAAAAGGCCCCGGCTTACGCGCGAGCGATCTGATGGACGTATTGAGACGAGATGTACCGCCACGACGATGATAATCGATACTATGCAGGGTTCTTAAGTCGAATCTTGGTGGTCAGATGTTTACACGGAGGTTCTGCGTTATCCCGTGTCACTTGACGCATGTCCGCGGTACTATACTGACAGCACAGGATCTTTTTATCAATTTTAATCCCTAATACATACAATAATTCCAGTCCTCCATTACACACAATGGCCAAATTAATTTTCATCACTTTAATAAATATACAAAAATTATTAAGTGATTCTTTAACATATTTAGAAAATATAGTAAGATTGCATATTTTAAATAATTGTAAATAAACGTTATAATTACGTGAGGCCTTTAGTTTAAAAAAAAAAGAAATGTACACGAATGACTCAAGTGTGCGTGTATTAGTATTAAGGATTAAAATATAGACAAAAATTTATATTATATAAAATTATCATGTTGTCAGAATGCGCGCGCGCGACTTTGATCTAGTCTATTTTTTCATACAACTATAAGAACTTTTTGAGACGATTGACATAGTATATTTGCAAGTAGAATTAATTTTATCGTAATTAATTAATAAAGCAGATATTCCAACACAAATTATTCCAGCAATAACATTATTAATAATGTTACAGCAATAATGCTGCAAGCTTCTGTACTCTATATATACATATATATATATATTATAATATATATATATAAAAGTATGTAGAAAACAGTTTTTAAAAAATTTAATTTATTTTTTTTATTTATTTCATTTATTTTTAAAAAATTTTAATCATACGTCAATTTAGAAAGAAATGATCAAGTGTAAATGTAGAACTAAATTAGCGGCTTTTGAAAATGTATACGATAAAAGCAACATTTAAATGTCGCGGGAGAGAGAGACTAGTATATCAAAGTTGAGTCCCTTTTTGTCATGGGTGAAAGGAAGACGATCGACTCTCATCGGGTGGTCGCTGATCGCGACGGATAGACGTCCGATCTGGCAGCAAAACATTCGCTGATCTGGCGTATTAACGATCTCATCAATAAAGCTTTCCTTCGTATCCACACAGACGGTCCTGAGGCCCCAGAAACATGACGCGAATCGATGAACTCCTCCCAGTATCATACAAAAAAAATCGCCAATTTGTTGAATGCATTGGCCATAATTCTACGAGAAAAACCAGCATTTCGTATGCGTCGGGCCCGAAGGACTGAGTATACACGTTGGTACAAATGTCGTGTACAAATGTCGAATCAGACAAGACCCTCTTTTTCAGCTGACATCCATTGGAATTGGTATACGTCACGTGTATCAACCGCGAGAGAATAAAAGAAACTTTTTGTAGATTTCTTTCCGACAAAAAGTCATTCAGAAAAATCCTCACTGCAATAATCACTGCTAATATCCATATTATCATAATTTTAACTTCTAGATGTCCGTTTTTACCAATGTAGATTTATTTCGGTTTACTTACTTAACGAATACTATAGCGAATATTTGTAATTAGTTTTTAAACAAAAAGTTTGAGAAATTATAATTATCTATATTTAAGTGTTTGATATAATACATCTTTCTTTAATTTATATTCGTGGACAATTTAGATACTAAGTGACAATTTATCTTATTGAGTAATACAATTGTAGTTATATAATTTCCTAATAAAGTCTTGACATTTTATAGTTTCCATCTGGTTGAATTTTCCAATTCAAATTTGTTGTAGTTTCCATTCTGGATTAAATTTTGGAATTCAAATGGAATTGAGTCCATGATGTCGCGTCTTTTTCTACCTCCAGGTGCTGCTGTGGTGGTGGTGGTGGTAGTGGTGGTGCTGGTGGTGCTGGTGGTGGTTGTTTTACAGCACCGGGATTTACAACAACACTTCTTACATTTCCTTGTCTTTGTTTTACACAAGAAGGATTCCTTCGCACAGAACAGAGAACATCGTTATTTTTCGGGAAATCATCGATAAATGATCATATTTGAATTAAGACTTACGGATTCCTGGAACATGGCACACACCACGATCGTCAAGATCAAGAACACCACTGATAGTCTCATATTGCAATCTTGTGCTGCTAATGTTTGCACTGTGAATATTCGCGTCGTAGTAGCGATATTTATACTGTGCCGCTGAATAACAATTTATTCGTTAAGCATTGACAATGAATATGGTATACATCTGTTTTGCCATTTGTCATAGCTCACTGTCAAGTATATTCCGTATAACGAGAATAATAACAAAGTATCAATATGTTCCGCATTCTTTTAGGCATATGTCTCTGATATGAAACAATTGTTATACTCACAAGTCGCATTAAGTTGAATGCAAATACTGCTGTATACTGCTGTACCATATTTTTTTATGTACTTATAATAGTTTTAAATCGTCTATATATATATGTGTGTGTGTGTGTGTGTGTGTGTGTGGGTGTGTGTGTGGGTGTGTGTGTGTGTGTGTGTGTGCGTGTGTGTGTGTGTGTGTATATATACATATATATATATACACACATATACACACACACACACACACAGTATTTTATTTAATTTATCATGGTGTCCAATAAATCTGACTAGTCAATTCAAGGATAATTCCAGAACATTCCAGGTAAAAATTTTGGCTTTACCAGGATTTATCCCATCGATTAATTTTCATTATTTAATTAATTTTCATCGATTTGCACATTATTATATGCTTTATATTTAAGTTAGGATTCTATACCATAAGAATGAATTAAAACGCTAATGTGGAACAATATTATTTATTGTTTTATAAATAACATCAAACATTCCGTCAACACAAACAATTTGTTTACTACCTATGTTCTATTTTATATTAAATTCAAGTTTCTCATTTTCTATTCGTGACTTATTATATCTTAAGGCGTAAATTAGGTGTTAAGTATCTAAAAGTACCTAAATCTAAAAGTACTTCACAAAACACAACGGATCTCCCACTAAATAAAAATCGCAAATAAAATATTCAGAATTATAAGAAAATTATTAAATTTTATTAAAATTTTAATTAAATTAATAACAATTTTAAACATTAAAAAATCAATGTCAGGTGTGACATATCTGACCTAGCTCACGCCGGATTAAAAGAAGATTTATATCCAAACATAATTTTTCTTCTTATTTTTTTCTTTTTTCGCTCTGATTTTTTTATAAAGAATGATAAATTCCAGATCCGGAAATTTCAGAAGTTTTCTAAGAATTTTCCAAAATATATAAAATTCCAGTATAATTCCAAGATCCAAGGATATTCAAGGACCGTGTTGGACACCATGTTTATGCACAAATTTCAGTATTCTACAATGCCGATAATAATTTAATCTCCCAAGTGAGAATTCAGACGATATTCAATTTTGGCGAAGTACTGATCTTGTACCGAAAAATGAGTTTCCTATTTCAATACTGGATCAGTATTTAAAAAACAATGATATGATACTAGTCCAATGTGTTGATCAATATTGAATAGTAGTATTGATCCAGTACATTTTCATTACATTTTCGGTGTTTCTATACTAAAATTATCCAAATTCAATGTATCAAATGTCCGTATTGAGACAGTACATCGTCAATATATTTGTATCGGTATTTAATAATCATTCCGTATTGTAATAGTACTATATTATAAGTCTTGACCCATTGCTATCATCCCAATATTCCTTTAGTATCATATCTTGTGTGTACTGATATATAAAAATTAGACCAGTAGTAAAATTAGACCTCGCCGATAGTCAATTCCTACTAGGGCTTTTATTATATTTATATATATTTAAAAAAAAGTAGAAATTTAAAAATATAACCTAACAAATGTCTGTTCGTCTTTTTTTTAAATTTTAAAAGTCAGTATTTTTCCCTGTAATACCGGAATACATTTGAATATGCTTATCCGACGTTGTTCCGCATGCATGCATGCATATAACAATTACATCATATTAGCGACATATGCCTAAAAGAATGCGGAACATATGATATGATTGATATGTTATCATTATTCTCGTTATACGAAATATATTTAACAATGAACTATGACAAATGGCAAAACAGGTGTGTACCATATTCGTTGTCAATGCTTAACAAATAAATTGTTATTCAGCGGCACAGTATAAATGTGCTACTCGACGCAAGCATTCACAGTGCAAGATTATCAGCAGCAAGATTGCAATATGAGACTATCAGTGGTGTTCTTGATCTTGACGATTGTGGTGTGTGTCATGTTCCAGGAATCCGTAAGTCTTAATTTATTTATTAAACATGACATTTATCGACGAATTTCCGAAAAATAACGACGTTCTCTATTCTGTACAAAGGAATCCTTCTTTTTGAAAAGGACAAGGAAATGTAAGAAGTGTTGTTGTAAACGCCGCTGCCGTAAAACAACAACCACCACCACCACCACCACCACCACCACCACCACAGCAGCAACTGGTAGAAAAAGACGCGACATCATGGACTCAATTCCATTTGAATTCCAAAATTTAATCCAGAATGGAAACTACAATAAATTTGAATTGGAAAATTCAACTACAGATAAACCAGAATGGAAACTGTCATGATAAAATGTCATCAAGACTTTATTAGAAAATTATATAACTGTAATTGCACTATTCAATAAGATAAACTGTTACTTAGAGTAATATTTAAATTGTGCACGTAAGCAAATCTAAATTGAATAGCAATAAAGATCAAACGCTTAAATATGGATAATAAAAATATATTAAATATAATTTCTCAAACCTTTCGTTAAAAAACTAATTACAAATATTCGTACACCGTTAAAAAAAATGTGTCAAATTTTACATAAATCGCACGTCCCAAATGTTCATGCCAATTTTTGAGTTAATTTAACACAAGATGAATATGTTGGATTATACATAAATATTATATAAGAGAATAAATACAAGAGGTAATATCATCACGATTTGTAAACAAACCGTGAAAGCATTTTTTTTCAGAAAATTAATATTTATGATATGTTAAATTAACCCACATTTTATTCATTCATCAATTTACGTTTTAAGACACTATTTTTATGTTATTTTATTTATTCATACACTTTAAATTTTTTAGAGTAAAATTTCACTCCACAAAAAGTAATAATTGCGTCAGTTCGATAAGAATGAATTTTACTTCATTCCTTAAGGAATAAATTTCCTAAAAGGGAAAAAAATCTTTAATGATTAATATCTCGCTTCGTGAGGCAGAGCAATGCATTTTTTCTACCAGATTCCTTTATTTTGTGCAAAAACGTACCAAATGAGCCTAATTTCGTCAAGATTTGATATAGGAGGGCTAAACTTAACTAAATTTACTTTCAATCTCTCTTCTCAGAGAGTGAAATATTCTCTACAGATATTGAAATTTGACTCTCGTTTGAAGTGATTCTTCACTCTCTAAGAGTGATTCTTCTTCTCTCTAAAAATGAAAATTTTACTCCTACCAAAATTTGGGAGTAAAATTTCAAAAATTTAGAGTGCGAATTCTGTCATTTTGATACTAAGAAATGTTAAATATCAATTTAATACCAAATCTTTAAATAACGTAATCACATTATGTTGAATTATTCGAATATGTTAAAAAATTTAACACAAATTGTTAACAAGAACATGAGTGGACGTTTCCAACACAAATACACAATTTTTTTACTGTGTACATGTTTAGATCTTCACATTGATGCGCTCGAACTGGTTAATTGACGCTAGACAGATGCATACTTGCTTTTACCGTTCTGTTAACCGTATCAATTCTACGCGCTCGGCTACGCAAACAAACCACGTATTTTCGGATGTTGACTCAGTGTGGAAATGTACATCGAAGAAATATTTGCCTTGATTCCATATATCTACTCGATGTATCTTAAATGCAGGACTTCTTCATAATAAGGATTTTCTTCATACTATTTTTTTCAGATTTGATTAATTAGAAAAGTAAAATCGTTTGTAATTATTGTCTTCTACATTACTATAAATGATAAGATTTTTAGATCAGAGTGATTACTCCAAACTGCTTCTATTTATTTTTATACTTCTATTCAAAATACTCGAGCGATCTATTGTATCAGTAATTCACAGATGTAAAAAGATGAGTAATTATAATTCTAAATGATCATAACATCCGATTCCGTTTACATCTAATAAGACACTGAATAACCATCCTACAATATTTAATGTTTATGCATAATCCACGTCGGCATACAAGTGCCTCGATTAATGGGTCTTAGATTTATTTGCTGCACAGGGGAGCGATTTTATTTCTATTCTCAGCTCGAGCTCGCGCGATTTAAGTGCAGATTTCCGGTGAGTCGCGCGAGATAACGTCATGCGAGAAGAAGTTCCGCTTCACGATCGCCCAACGAAAAGGAAACATAAAGAGGGGCTTTTCTTCCCGCGCGCGCTCATATATCACGGTCTCGTAATAATATCTAGTCACTTCCGATCGCAAGCACCGACGTGTAACACCGTCACATACCACGTGCGTCGTGATAACTCTTTTCTAGAATGCTATCGCGGTTATTTATTGTTTATGACATTTTGGATTTTTTCAAAAATATTTCAAAGTTAGGAATAACCCTTGATATATCTAACAAAAATCTACATTATAAAATATATTAGATGATTTCGTCTTTAACATTATACTTATTATATTGTGAAATTAATTATATAGTATATTCTCAAGTATTATATCAGTAATAAAGACAATGTTATATATATATATATATATAGATATATCAAAATATAATATTTAAAAAATATAACATTTGAAAAATTATACATCCGCAAATATTTTTGAATTCTCTAATATTATAACTATTATACAACCATACGAAATAAGCAGCTCATTATGCGCTTTCATAAAAACACGTTTGATCGCACGTGCTCAAGGCGTGCTAAAGTATTCATATATTGATGCGTGCATTCATAGTGTAACGCGTGGCGAGTACATTTTGCGTGGGGTATCGAAAATCCATGAACTGAATTACAGTGTGAGTTCCGTTATACGACGAGGGGCTCCGTTTTTGTTTATGGGTGGTGAATTCATTCACCAATGCAGTCTAACGTACTACCACACAAAAAAATGGAAAGATGGAA